TGCAACAACAATCGCAGGTAATGATGAAAGACGAGAACAAGGGGAGAGAGATATCCAGTAAGATTAGATAGAGAGCAAGATGAAGAGAGTGGTAGAGACGAAGAGAGACAGGCGTGTGAATCAGAGAAACTCATTTTTAAGGATATGGTGTCATTTTCTCTTTGACAGCCCGCAGGTCAGGGGGGAAGAGTGAGACTCGAGATGGCCTGCACAGACGTAAACACACATGGATAGTTGGTGACAGTAAGGAGAGAGAGAGAGAGAAGTTTGTTGCAGCAGGTGCAGTGGTGTTTGGTGTGGCTGCTGGTAGAAAGACAAACGCTTGGAAATTAGCTGAAGAAAAATTACCTTCAATTGACTTAGTCTGAATCCCAAGGCATACTGCTTGACAACACATTCACAAACTCAAACACACACACACACTCGTACATATGCACGCACTTCTGCAATCTTGACTCTCTTTCTCTTGCAAACACTGGCTTGCTTTCTCGTTCTCACTTTCCCCTCTCTCTCTTTTTCCCTTGTTTCTCTCTGGAAAAAATATCATCATGCAATTTCTTTTTTGCAAACAACACTTCTCAGTCCATTTCTCATCCACCCGATGGCTGTGACCTGCTTTGCAAATAGATTTCACAAACAAATACACACACACAGACACAGAAGACACCATACTCAAATACACACAAAAAGTGTGACCTCTGGATCAAGACCTGTGTGGTCCACTCCAGGACAACGGTTATCACAGTTACCGTGGTAACCAATCATAAACAGTCTAGGCTGTCAATTATGTGTGACCCCCCTGCAAGCTCCAAGGCAATAGAGCAGTCCTTGAGCCAAACACACTGTCAAGATATTCATATAAATAGCAGCAATATGTCACTGAAGCAGAATCCTTTGATCTGTTAAGCCTGACATTAAGACCTTACATTTCAAAGCACAATTGTGTACCGAGAAATTTGTCATGAGCACTAACTGCCCAGTATTGTGTGAACTGTGTGACACTGGATGTTGTCGCACCAAACATGTAGACAAGTTTCATAAAATAGGCATACAGACTGGAAATAGTCTAAATTTAAAATGTTCCCATTTCTACATTGCGGCCTATGGGCAGGCCCACCAGCATAATAAACTGTATTCACTCTGTTTTAATATTTAATGATCTTAAATGAAACCTCAAATTCCAAGGAGTCTGACAATATTAATAACATTTTCTGTCAGGGCAAAGAGAATAAACGGGCTAATATGCCATTTTTTAATTCTGCTCATGCTGTCAAAACAGCATGTGACATCAGGCTTCAAAATTAGTTGATATAGGTCACACAGTGCATTGGTATGAGTGAATGTGAACATGAGTCCGATCCTGAATACATATCAAGTATTAGTGCAGCAGTCAGGCTCATCAGAGTCAGTATGAGTTAGTACCTGTCCACTAGTAAGAACATCCTTTGCCACTACAGGGTCATTGCTGACACGTAGGATTTCTAAAACTGAAACCTTGAGCATGAAGCTGACATTTAACTTTGCTTTTTCAAGTAAACGTCTAACTAATTTCCTGGGTTCTTAAACTAATAGGTGAACAAGACCATATTTTATTTATTTTGAAAAAAATTGCACTGTTCCAACCTTGACCCTATACCGCAAGGATCTGTGCTGTGATGTTGCACCAGCTGGCATGAAATAAGCTCTTTCTCTTCGAGTGTGTGTGCGTATGCCAGCTGGTTTAACAGCACATACTGACTGCTATGAAAGGACAACACTGTAGTGAAGGGGAAGACAGGTGAAAACAAACTGATGAAGACATAAAGAAGATTTAAGTCTTCTGATAATACCTTGGACTAGTCTGATTTTATACACAAATCATTTTTGTGACCAGTCATTTGCCTAAGTAGACATCTGTCGGAAAGCACCGATATTCAGGAATCAACAGCATACTGGCCTCCCGAGTGGGACTGAGGAATCACAGCTGGGCAGGGGTCTGATTTAAATGTAGGAGGATAGAAAGAAATGTGCTGAAATATATACATATACAGTATTAACCAATTACTAAAATTGATTTATTGCATAAACAACCTCCATTTACTCTCCTATCTATGTCTTATTTTCTTTGTGCCAAGATGTGCTGCTGCAATGGCCTAATTCCCTTTTAAGAAAAAATCAGATATAATATTAAGATGCCCCGATTTTATCAGCTAATCATAGTGTCACAGTGCAACATTAAGTCAATTCTCAACTGATTTGAAGTAACTTCGATCAATTTTGCTCCCTGCTCGAACAATCAAAACTTCTGATCAAGCATATTAATACAAAACAAGATATGGCTTTCCTTGCTATCCATTTAAATTCTTTTTGGAAACAATTAAACAAAAGGTAAAAGAGAGGCAACACTGACACTTTAGGCCAGCACAACATTTAGCCAGCATAAATTGATGTGACACAACTGATAAACATCGGCTACTGATATGGGTGAATACCATCTTATTTTTCCTTATTGGTCAATGTCCGTCAACCGATACCAATGTTCGACTTTATATGGGTGCATCTCTACTCTCAACACCACTAAAAAACAGGAAGATGCACAGAAACGTGTTGTAGAGCTTGACATTATGCCAAACTCATTAGACAGATTCCCAAACTGCTTCCATGAGAGATGTCGAGGCATGATGCATCACCAGTTTACATATGGCTGTGGGAGGCAAACAACACCATTTAAATGTGTCACATTGTCTCATCACATAAAGAGTGCCATGACATCTGTAGTCCTAACTTTCTAAGATTGACTGACCTAGCTCCTGGAGTGTATGTGCAACTTGCAAATTTATAGAGACGTGCACTAATACCTGTAAGATATCTCTAGTCTTTTCTGTCCTTCAAGAGAAACAGCTTGATGAGATTTAGAGTTTTGCCTCTCTAACTCCCACTCACCTGCTGCTCTAATAAGAGGTTGATAGAGTTCTATTGATCTGGTCATTGTGTGCGTTCAGTCGGGGTCAGAGCTTTTATATGGTGCTTTACGTGCCTAATGTCTGTGTCTTCTTGCCAATCTCACCATTTATTCCCTGTTGCTCCTTTCTTCGATCGTTTCTCTCATTCAAATGCCTCTCTCTTTTTCTCTCTCTCCAGAACAAACCTGCAATGTCCAGAGAATCCATCTAACTCATCATCTGCGTGCCACTGGTTAGAGACTGAGAAAAGCTTTTGAAAGTGATGTCCAATCACGTAGCTAAAGTAGTACTTAGGTCATTAATGGAAGGACATTGAGAGTGTATAGCCTTATTAGATATTGAATTTCTGTCTCCAGCTTCCACATATAAACTCTCTCAAACTGCCCTTACAAACACACAAATTCATCTGGGTAAACAAAAGCTGGAAACATTCCCACTTTCTATTGGATATAATCCCGCTGACGCTGGCTGATGTCACCGCTTGCCTCCATCCCGTTCAGCTCCTCAGGGGGCTGAGCCAACCTGCAGAGGAGTATGGGCAGGAGGGTGGCTGACCCAACCAATCCAGTGCCTGCGCTGGGGGTTCCCCTGGCAGGGGGGCGATGGGGCCCACTGTGCAGTGTCGGGGTGCAAACATCTCCCGGACTGCGGACTCTCCCCTCCATCAAACGACACGGCAGCCAACCAACCAACACGCATCGGCCACTCAACATGGCAACAGACAAAACAACGACAGCAGAGACAGCGGGAGTTATAAGAAGTGACAGCACCAGTCTGCCAGTGTCCAAGGAGACATCTCAGAACGAGATCAACAGCCTGACACAGAGCGACATGGGGTCACAGGGGTCAGGCAGTGGAGTTTACTGCCAGATTAAAACTATACGGACAAATCCCAAGGACACAAGAGCTAAAAGGACAGCTCGGTACACAAATGGCAGTGTGGTAGCCTCCGACGTGGTAGGTGGGGTCTGCACTGAGAACACAGAAGGTAAGGAGCCAGCCCACGAGAGGAGGAGGGTGCAGTCTCTCCGTGGGGAGGGCCATCGCTCAGTATTAAAGACAGGGAGCGCTTGTACAACCGTGCACGCCACCCCACCACGTCCATGTCGAGTGATGGCGACCTCTCCACCCCGTCTTTGTGGAACGTGCGGGAGGAGACGGTCGCAGATTACACCATGCACAGGTGCATGTCGCAGGAGGGCTGTCAATCAAATAACAGCCAGCCAGACTTTACCTAATCCATCTCGGACACAGTCTGTGGCTCCCAACCAGTCAAGAAAAGAGTCTGCTCTGGACTCTCAGTCTTGCACCAAAAACACAGAGACGGCAAACACCTCAACTCACACATCAGTAAAGCCTATTCAAATACCACAGCTGTCACACACTATACCAAAAACACACAGCTCACATTCCAACCACACATCGCACACTCAGAACAAATCAAAAGATTTAAAGCAGCAGGCAAGGCCACATTCGGCAGACTTTACTCATTACAAGGACTCAGCCACACAAACAACAGACATGCACACGCAAAACACAGACAGGACCACAGCTACCACTCACACACCATCTGCAGAAGCAACAGAACCACATTCAACACACAAGTACGACGTGGCTAAAATCCACCCTGATGAACACAAACACCCATCAGTCCGTATCATTTCTAAACCTTCAGCTTCCTCCATTCAGAGTGACTCAAAAACTACCAACACCCCACCTCTCCCACCAAAAAATTCTCCTAAACCCACTACACTTGCAACCAAAAACACCCAGGAGACCACGAATATTCCCAAACAATCATCTTCAGAACGGATCAAACTCAAGGACTACGCAAAACAGAAGAGCAAATCATTTGACGACCAAACTCTGCCTTGTAAGACTCATATGAAAGCACAATGTAATGGGGCTCCAGGAGGATTGTTGGGTGGACAAGTAGGGAACGCTCCACGTGGGCTAGAGAGGCAGCTGCAGAGTGTGGAGGAGAACCTAGTGTCCAATCAGGAGAAGATCAAGGTGCTTCTCAACGTCATTCAAGACCTGGAGAAGAGCAAGGCCCTCAGCGAAGGGTGAGAGACAAACATTTAGGGAAAGAAGGGCATATAGGGTCGAAAAATATAAGGAGAGGAGAAAAAAAAATGTGAGATGGACTGTGAAGTGAGACAAAAAAAGAGGGTTAGATACCATGGCAGCGAGCAAAGAGCGATGAAGATGAGGATGAAAATAGAGATGAAGGATGGAGAAAAAGGATGGAGAGGTAGAGATATTAATTGCAAGCGCTTAAGTAAGAGTGCGAGAGAGTGAAGAAGAGATAAAGAGAAGAAGAAGAAAGAGACGAAGGGGTGTCAGGGGAGTGCACAAGATTAAGAAGATAGTGTATTCGAGTTTTTAAAGCAATATATACCGACAGGCTTTCAAGTCTGTGTAATAGATTTTAAATGTCAGGACAGTGGAGCGTGTGTGTGTGTGTGTGTGTGTGTGTGTGTGTGAGAGAGATCCAATCCTGTAGGGATATGATACCTACCAGCCTGCAGTAGAGGCTAGCAGATCCTTCCCCTGTCCTTTAATCTTATACTGTATACCTTATAGGGTATATACTCCCCTCTGTAACAGTATCCCTAAGAGACATCTTTAACTTGCCCACCAAGTTAAATTCATCACTTTTTGTCTCCCTCTAATTCTTTTATTCATAAATCATCCTGTCTTGCTCCACATCCTTTGTTTCTCTCCTCTTAATACATCCCACTTGGCTTTCCGTACTCGCTTCATTTCAATCAACGCCCTCCCCTTTCACCGAGGCTCTTTAACCCGCTTCAAGCTATTCATCTTTCTCCACCTCCGCCCTCGCACCTATCTTCCCCCAATTTTTAATTAATACATTTTCTCCACCTCCACACATGAATCATGTCTGCAACTCACAACTGTGAATCACTCCTTTGCCCTCTCACCATTTTTGATCTTCTCCTTCTCTCTGCCCGACAACCTGTCCATCACTCTCCCCTGCTGTCATGTGTTAGCCATCACTCTGTTTTGTTTCTCCCTCCCTCTATCGCCCCCCCACACTTTACTTCTTCATCCACCTCCACCTTCACCTTTACTGTCAGTAGTTCTTCTTTCAACCCCTTTCTCCTGTTCTTCCTAATTCCATATGCCCATTGGCACTTCTTCTTCTCTCAAACTGCCTAAAACCAATTCCTCAGCCTTTTGCCTTCTCAAAAATGATCTTTCTAGCTCTACCCAAACTCCCCCTTTTTACTCCCTCCCTTCCTCCTTCTTTCTTTTTGGGGTTAACAGATGTCTCTAGCACCACACTAATCCCTATCAGATTACCTTTGAGAAATGCAATTATTGTTTAAGCTGCACAATAAGGCTCCTAAACTCAGTGTACACAATGTCCTGCCCCTTGTGTGTGACTGTATAAGATTCACATCCTACAGTGTGTGTGTGTGTGT